GACTGTAATGGAATTATACTCCTCTATCGTATTAACCTTCTCCGCCCACGCAATGTGCATATTCTCCGCGCACACAATGTGCATTTGCATCACAATGGTACAATGAGTACATCCAAACAAACTGAGTTTTGCTCTTTCTAAAGCAAACTAAAACAAAATTACTGGGACAAATAGTTGTCAGACTAGTTTTGCTGGATTCAGTCACATTTAGATTGGGGGTGGGGCATGTGTGATTATTGCAATATACATGTACATGTATTTCACAATATATTACATACACTATGTTTCAGTTTTCAAAAAACATGGTTTCAAAAATAAGTTGGCAAGAAAAAGATTACTTTGTTTTGATACATGTATATTATTGCTTATCCTTACCATTTTCAGGGTGGATGTGGGATTTTTCTGAGGAATGTTTGAGGAATGAAATCAGACAAACAATGACCAAATGTTTTCATTAGTGAGCTGAAATTTGCAACGTCGCAGGAAGTAAATTTAAAATTTTAACAAATGTTAAAAGCTTAACGTGTAACAGCCTCACATTCAATGTTACTTTTAGGAAATGTTTACACTTTCAGTTTCTTTCAAAGGTGTCATTTGACGTTTGGAAAATACATCTCTTTTTATTAAAAATTTTAAACATGTAGTTGCATACTTGAGATTGATGTTGGCCCTGAGGCCATTTTGATACCACAAAAACACCACTCAAGTCAATGCTGACTTTGAAATTGGGTTGGTGTTAAATTTAAGTTCATTTGTTCCCGTACACCGATGAATATTTATAACACTGTTCACTGTGTGATCTGAGGGCTTGTGAAACAATTCACAAGCTCACTTGGGTGAGACTTGAGCCCACAACCTCCTGCTTGCTGGTGCAGATGTCTTTACCACTCGACCACAAAGCTTGCCAAGGTTGGCTGACCAGGGTTGGCTAGCCGGCTCAAGTTAATCAGCAACGGGTATCATGCCAAAACATTTATGATGGGATTTTTACATCGGGGCTATATATAAAGTTTTTTTCACAAGCCCTTAGGCAGCACTTACTATACAGTGTTACAAATATGCACTAGTGAAGGGCAAAACTGCAAATTAAAAAACAACAACTGTCGGACTGAGTAACTGCAAAAGAATATGTGCTAACTTTATTTTGTGAAATGAATTTGTCATGGCTTGGTCAGGGTTTGGCAATGTTTTATTCAAATTTGGCCAAATCAAGGAAAGATGAACATATGTAGTTGAGGTTTTTAAATGTAAATGTTTATAGGCAAGATATGACTTGGAAATGTACCCATTTTATTATGCTTTTTAATTTATTCTGCATAAACTATAAGAGGTTGTCCTTGCCATACTTAAGACAATAAAAGTTTCTAAAGATTAGTTTTGTTAATAATAGTGGTGCGTCCTGTGAGTTTTTAAACAATGGCTGTGGTAAAAAAAAATGGGTATGTGTTTTTATTCTCAAAGGATGAGTACCATTTTTGTGAGAATAGTTAAGCCCATTGATTGGTTTTAGAGTATTGTTTAAGGGGATAGGGCCGGGCCCAAAGTAAAGTTCAAATTTAAAATTACTCATTTTCTGGTTCGGCTCAGATAATAATACAATATTTCTGTTATTTTAGGTTAATTGAGTGTGAACTTTGACCTTTCTAATTCAAACAATGGTTTCATCGGTATACCACAAGTCTACAAAAAAGCAACTGACCTTGAAATGATTTCTCATTTTGATTTTGAAATGTTTCTCATTACATTTTGGGGTTCAAATATTTATCGCACTTGTCAAGTATCAATTATTCAATCAACAGCCTGTAAACGGAATCTTGAAACATCTGGCGAATGTGCACTTCAACTCTGTGTGCGTCATTTTTAAATTTTTAATGCCAAAGACGGTAGAAATAAAAAGCAAAATGGAAAAAAAAGGGAAATTGGATGATCCTTAGAAAATTGCATTCCTAACAGTAACTGGTAGTAAGGAGTGAATGACCTAATTCATTACTGCGCCAACATAAATGCACCATTTTGAAGAAATCGCAAAATATTCATTAATAAACCCCAAAAAAGGAGCCTCCTGAAAGGACCAATGTTACAATTAGTATGGCATGCATATTCATACAAACCATGAATGTATTTAATCTCTACAAATTGGCAGCTTAGTTCAGTAGCAAAAATATGTTTCATTTCAAAGTTGAGGAACATTTCTACATTAACAACAAACTTCTGGATACAAAAACTGTTGAACAGCAAAAACATCTTACAACTGTTGAACCGTTAATCAATTTGAAAATGTACACATAAAGTTTATACTAATGAATAAAAATAACCCTTCTGAAAATTGCTCATTTGCATAGATGGATTTTATATTACTACAAATATTTATTTATTTTTCCAAATTTATTTTAAGTGCATGGTTACTCATTGACTGCGGTCAGTGTGGGCAAACGCATTCACTTATTAAAAATACCGTAAGAGTCTACAAGATTCTTGAAAAGGCAGACTGCTTGAAAATATTTCAAATGATGGTACTGGCAATCTTTCCATTTGCCCCACACCCTACTCCCACGATGCCATGCGGTAAATGCAGTGTGATGTCACTAGGTCTCATTGCATTTTACAGAACGACCCTCGACACAAAGCCTTCAAGATTTTTTTTGATAATTCTGTGGTTTACAAGACTAACCCTACTCACCATCTCTTTTGAGAAACCAACGATGTCTGGAGAATAACTGCACTGTGCAGATCATCGTTGCTGGCTTGGAGTGAATCTGACCTCAGCCAAAAATGCCAAAAGTCCAGCTGTTTCTTAAGCCTCTATAGCTACTAATGAATAAACGATCTCTGAGTTCTTGGCAACCAAAGATTTTAAAGAGCATGCATCAACAGCATCATTGTATGAATAAACGAGTACACATGTGCTTACTCAGTGCGCATATATCTAAGCAATGTCCTATATGCTCGAGCAAATCAGCAAATCGCGGTCACATCAGGTCGTCAAACTTTGAGAAATGAGTGCTCATGAGTACAAGTTTAGGCAAATCACAACATCAGGGTCACTCACCTAGGCCATTTAGACCATGTGAGAAGTTCTGAGTGGTCCCAACAAGGAGTCACTTCTCAGGATGTGTGCACAATAACCACTCAGACTGTGTGAGAAATTGAGAGTATTAGAGAGTCCCTGCTCAAATCAATCAGTGGTGGCAGTGAAGACTCACAAGATGTCCGGACATTCCAAGTCACTCACCTTGGACACTCACCATGGTCATTCGCCATGGTCCCTGAGAGCGTACATCACATCGTCCTGACTGACATTCAGTCGGATGCGCTGTTGCAGCTCATTGGTGCTGGACTCCAGAAGGATGAGACGGCATGAGGCAAGCCTCCTACAAACGGCCACGACCTCCGACACCACTGGCGGATGCAAGCCTGAAACCAAAAGACCAGACAATTCAAGAAGAAAAGTTTCTCCAGAGAACAGGTGTGATATACGGCTTTACCTTTACTGTCATGGTTTTCGAGCAAGATGTGTCTTCCTCATCAAATTCTGCCAAGCCTGGATCAATCCCTTTCTTTCCGTGGTCCTCTGGGGCAAAGAGTCCAACACAAGGTCCCCATGATTCCTCACTTTGAAACTAGCAGACATGATGTCAGTTTGAAAACAGATTTTGTGTCAAAAACTTTGCTAAACAAATCACACATTTCTAGGAACTTACCTTCCAGTCTGCAAATGGATATGTGCTGAATCAGAACCTATGACGGAGGCAACAAAATGTATGGAAAATTAATTTAAACACTCGGGGTTTAATTTTAAAAACTGAGAAGAAATGTTGTAACGTTGAAAAATGACAAATTCGATGCTTACACCTACTTTCCCAGTAAGATGCTCTCAAAGTAGCTTCACTGATTTAGATTAAAAGATACCAGAACATGGCATTTTGGAAATTACCACGATGTCACTTTCTGTTCACGAGTCCCATACAAGACAGTAAATGCAACCAATTCACAGCAACAGAGAGTATTAAGTAGTCATCTGTCTAGACCGGCCAGGTGTCTTTTCTTGACCAGTGAAAACAAGTGTTGTTTGAAGCTTTGCATGGCAGATTAGTATAAGAGAAGAGCTGAGTATTTGAAGTAAAAAAATGCACATGGGATGCTGCATAAAAGCAGCTTGCAGCTGACGGAAACTCTTTTGATCATTTTGATTCCGAAAGCAACGACTGTCACAAAGCTAAAAATGTCAAGTTCCACTCACGTCAGTGGTAGAGACGGCCGTGTTGTTATGGTTACTAGGACGCGGCGTTTCCAAAACAATATCACCCGATTTACTACTTGTCATGGCAGTTAACACACTGAAAAGAAATTTTTTTAAATGAGAGCCATTTTCCAACCTTTTCAAAAGGTGCCTCTTCCAAGCCCGACATCTTGAACTCGGTAGCTATGGCTCGTAGGAAGATCTGCTCCTGTCTGGAGGCTTGCCTAGAACACGAATAATACAAAGAACATCAACCTTTCAAAAACAAGTTCTGTCAAAAGTTTTATGCTAACAGTTTCCCCTCCACAGGCATTGAAAGTGTGTAGAGGCTGCCTTTGTATTTTTTGTATTGGTGCATGTGTTCAGAATATTGCGATCCAAATGTCACATTTCTGAGGCATGCTGAAAGTTTCCGTGTGCATTTTCATAAAGCGGACAGGACAAAATTAAACTGTGACCTGTCTAAAAAGCAACTGAATGGCTTATTTAATTAGTCCCCCCCGTGGGTCGACATTTCCACGGGGGTGCTCACATCCCCCGACCCTCCCCTGCGTACCTCATTGCAACAATCTTGGGCGAGCTGAACATTTCTGCCAGCGCCCTGTCGACGTGCTTCATCCCAACCAGCGGGCCTTTGCCCTTCCCCGTGGGCTGAGCTGTCTCGGCCAGCTCGGTGGCGCGACGACAGATGTCCAGGGCTCTCCTGGCATCACCCGACACCGCAGCCACCTGGAGAGGGAAAAGGCAGGGCATGTCTATGATGAGATTGAACCTCCAAGTCCCTAAGGTTAAGTACCTTCCAGATTCCTCCGTAATCTTCCACTGTGCAGCAACCTAATGGCACTTTTTTGTGAGTACTTTCAACTTTACTGGAGCGCAAAGCTCAGACTACAGTAACAATGGGGAGGATGTACCTTGACGAATTCTTCAAATCCTTTTGAATCCTCCAGACCCCATTCTCTTGTGCATTTATCATCAGGTTCATTTCTCTCCTGCTCAGTCCCTTTGGATTTGTGGAGAGTCAAGTGAAAGCTAGTCGTGTATACCTCACAATTGTGAACAACTCACTTTAAACATTTGGACAGCATTCTGAGGACATTGAGACTCTCAGAATAACCATGAGGTCCCCACAACTGTGGACCAATACAGCATGGGCTGGTAAGTGTTGTCGATAACTATGAGTGGACCGCACGATTCATTCCCCAGCTCTTGCACGCATACCACAACCCACACATCCTTGTTATCTTCTCCCCTGGGGACACCCCCTGTCTGTCACCCCTCCCTCTCCCCTCCCCCCCCCCACCTACCTTCCTAGCAGCTAGCTGGATGGCGTCTGGCTCAAACGCCTGCAGTCCTTCTAGACGGCTCTGTACAATACTCTGGAGTTGCTTGAAAGTGTAGGGCTGGAATGTCATGCGGGTTAAACCCTGGACAACGTACAAGAACACAGCAGGCACCCTTACGTATGTATACTTGTGGGGTATTTCCTTTTGTTCTTGTGTACAAAGCTCCCAAACAAAACATGGAAAAAATTTCAAATCACTGCCATTTCAACCAAATCCAGTTTCCTGGGTTGAAATTTCACCCATATGTCCCTTATATAAAACACTTCAATTTGTGACGGATGAATGGCACTTGAAAATTCCTCCTTTTTGAGTAAATTTGAAATATCTATTTCGTGAAATTCTTGTGGGGTACCACTTTAGTACCCCCACAAGGATCCAAACTGGCCTTGTGGGGTACCTTCCATTGTTCCTGTACCCCACAAGGCACCATGTACAAGTGCACAGCAGTCGTGTTCAGCCTAAACAATAAGTGGACACACAAGGCCTCCAAAACTCATTGTTAAACTTCCGAGGTCACCGGTTTCTCATATCTTGCAAATGGACTGCAGTGGAGTGAAAAAAGTCTCTAGAGCTAATCCTCATCAATCTTAGGTACTGACTTGGAAATGAACATCAGTTTCCTTACAACTGTTGTAACTGCAGGCAGATGAAGAGCCCAAAGCAGCAGTCATCCATTATTACAGATAAATACTGTGATTCTGATTTAAGAAATGCATTTGTGAGGCTCCACTGCTGCGCTGCCCTGCTGTGCAAAGCTTTGTGTAATGAAATAAACATTTTGCAATTTGGAAAGAAAGGTTTAGGTACTAAACTCTTCCCCAAACAGAAAATATTGAAACAGGCAACCTCTTCCGTCTGGTATTGTATACTTTGAATACTCTTCAAATCCCTAAACCTGAAGCTAATGATCACGATTCTAACGCCACTTGCAAATACAATGACAACAGGTGATTACTCTGAGTGGATGCATCTGTGTATACTCATGGTCGAGAGACAAAGTCTCATTGGCTTATTCATCATCACGTTGCTATTTTGCTGCTCAGCAGGTATGCAAGCAAAGATCTGTGCACACAGCAAATACACAGGCATAGTCCCTTCTCCCAGCCGAAGTGGGTGACGGTTTGGAATTTGACAACTGGTTCCCTCATCTCTGTCAAGGGATGCCTTGAGGAGGCAATATCAGCTATTTTCTCTCAAACAATGTTGTCCTTGTTTTGTGAGTGTGCAGAGGGCACGACCTACCAGCCGGCTGGATATTCTGTTCATCATGATGCGCTCCGGCAGGTCCATGGTGTTGGCGATGGCCAGCACAATCAGACGGGCTTTGGGACGGCTGGGCCAATCAAAGATGCTGTAGAGAACGCCTTGCTTGCGGGTCCACAAAAGATCCAGCTGGTTGGTGGAAAATTTGGATGTCAAGGAGATAAAAATGAACAGGAACAGGGCATTTACAGACCCATTTAAAATCTACAGTTGGTGTCATTTAAATTTAAGCTCGTTGATGTCCACAGCCAGTACTAAAAAGCTTGGTTTTTATCACCGTCATAAGGTTTCATTTTCTGCTCTGGCATGAGAACTTCTTGATGTTAATGCAATCGGGGAATGCGAACAGATTTCTCTCTTTGGTTCTGTACCACTTTCATCCTCTTTGGCGTTCCCGTAATACAAACTTGACCTATATTTCCCCCCGATTCACCAATGCTGAGGATGAAGTTGGCATCTTCAAGCCAAAGACGGAGACAAGCTAAGGTTTGAGAAATGGTTTTGACCTGTGAATGGCTGTGGTCAGAACAGATCTATCGAGGGCATTGGTTAGTCTTACCTCATCCACAAGGAGCACGATAGGCTGTTTACGCCCGGCGGCCGACGTGAAATACTTGTCCAGGAGCTGTGAGGAGTGTTCTGCAGTGGCTTTCTGACCAGTCAGGGCCTGCAAGGGTGAAGGAAAAATACATGAATGCTGGCATTAATGATTACTTGGAAGAAAGCAAATGACAGAAAACTCAAGAATTTTTCAAGGGTTCTTGGTTGTCTCAACCCTATAAAACAATCCCTAATCTGTAACTATCCAAAACCTGAGTTCGTATTATTTTTTTAATCCCTTGACATGCTGTTTGTAGCCCTGATGAATTCTCTGAAATCCTTCAGTTTGCAGGACTACAGGCTCAATGTTCCTTGATCCTTCAAATCCATCACAACCTCTAGCTGGATTTTGACGGATACCTGTTAATGTCTCAATTTTGTTGACCCACAGTGACTGTGACCAAGGGTAAATCTTACTTTTTAAGTTTTTGTGTTCGCTCCACATTTTAGCTTTCAGTCAGTATTTTGGAAAAAAATTCTTGGCAGACACAGAAAAAAAAGTGCACAGCAAAGCAGCTTTAACAAGGAGCACTTAATTTTGCTGGTATCTTCAGTCAGTTTTGTGGTGAAAATGCCTGGAGGGTTAGGGTGTAATTAATACAAGTCAGCCAGGAATTCAACTTTCTTGTCTTTGCGTTCAGAGACCTTGAGAATCTGCACGAACGCCTGGTGTGGCTCCGTCAGCTTCATCCCGTTCATCTCCACCAGAGTGAATTCTGGGAAGTCCTTGTCCTCGTCCACTTCCTTCCGCAGGAACGACATCACTTCGGTGACGGTTGCCGTCTTACCGGTGCCCGGCACACCAGATATGTACATACAACTGCAAGTTAAATCCAAAATTCTTATTTGCTATAAATATGAAGACTAAAATTGACTAATCAGGACTTGAACCCTGACTCCTACAAAATTATGCCATGCTCTACCATCTGAGCTTTCTAGCCCTGTGCTGGTGGTCCTCCAATCAATCAATATCTTTGCCTAGAGGTGCTAAAATTGTTTCTCCCGACTCATATCATAGACTACTTTTCTGAAAGGGCCAATGAATTTCTCATGCCATTTACAAAAAAGTGTTGCCAAATTTCACTTTTTGAAATAATGTTTGTCTGTGGGGGAAATCAAATTTGGGAGTTGCAATTGAAGAAAAATGTAACACTTGCCCCTAGAGCTTGATAACTATGTATCACTTGCATAAAGTGTAGCAAAGAAACTCACCCTCCGGTTCCATCAAGAATCTTGCTCTTGACGAATGTGTAGATATCGGCAAATTCATGCTCCCTGCACGGCAGCGAGTCAGGAACGGCAGAGACGTGCAATCTAGATTGCAAAATAACAGGAAACAAAGCAAGTGAAAAATGAAGGAAACTTCACAAAACGCAACAGTGTTATTGAGATGAAACAGGCCGTTGAATGAATCTTACACAAATGGATTAAAAAAACACCTTGCCTCTGAATGGTATGAAAAGAAGTTACCATGTGAACAAATCTGGCAGCGTTTCATCATCAAACATTCCCAATGGCCCCCTGTAATGGCAGAGAGCACTTGGTGGGGTTTTGTGCAGAGCAACTGTGTTAAGGAACAGTGGTTCCATACAACAGTTATCACAATGCTTACTGCCATTGCTGGGGGCTATTGAAAATGATAAGACACCATTACTGCGGTGGGTGGCACCAAACTCAGATGCGCATTGCTAAACTGGAGATACGAGAACACTTGACAAATCAAAACATCTTAATATTCATTGAAAAGGTTATTCACCATCCAGATAAATTATTTTGTAATGAGGGAAACTTTCAACATCGTCCCAAGGTTCCACACACAAAGAAAATCCACACTGTTCCTCAACCAACCAAGTGCTTGTACAGGAAAAGATTTCAACATACTGTACCTGGCTCTAGCATGCTCCAAGATCTTAGACGGCGTCTTGCAAGGCGTGCGACGCACTGAGATGTGAGGCACAATATCCTTTCGTGGTGTCCTACCCTTGACCTTTGACTTAATCTGCCAAAAAGAAAAGCAGATCCAGACGGAATGCTACTTGAGTTTTACTCCAACTAATAATATCCACGAGTAATACACACGGATGAAGTAACCATGTCTTTGGCTGGTAAATCAAGCATGATGGTGAATTGAAAAGTTTAATATAGAAGTTGGCTTGTGCTCTAGATTATCTGGGTACAGTAATATTACCTTCTATGCACTTATTTCAAGGTCTGTTATTGAAATGCTCTTAGATATAAATCAGGCAAGATTCAAAAACCTATAGCCTATTGTTTCCTCTCACAAACTGTCAGAGAGAGCATAGCATACGGTACCAATAAGGCATTGTCAATCGTCAGTTGTCAAGTTTAAGACACAGAATTTCCTGACTGAAGGGAAATTTCTCAGCGTTTCTAACCAAGAAGTGTGACTCGCCACATTTGCAACCTTAAGGCAACCTTAATTCCAACTCGGCAATTTTTTTCCCCTTTAATTTGTTAAATTTCACGCTGAGCAGGTTCATGACATAGCACAAAGATGCGGAGGATCTTTAAAAAGATTTTTTTTTACCGAGACAGGTGTCTTGGGTGCGACGCTCTGCCGGCCCGCCGGTTTCTTTGCCGGTGTCTTCCTTCGCTTGATGGTAATCTCCTCATCACTGGATACCTCTTCAAAGTCACTTTCTTCCTCCAACTCATCCTGATCATCATCATCGCTTTCTGGTTTCTTCCCGGCCTTCTGCATAACCTTGGTGACAGATTTCGGTCTCCCTCTCTGCCTCCTTGGTTTCGTAGAGTCCTCCTCTTTCATCTCTTCACTGTCGGGGATCTTCTTTGCTGGAGGAAGCTTTCTCTTTGGTGTCTTCCGTCCCTGCTTGTGTTTCTCATTCTTTGACTGCTTTCTGGTTGTTTTGACATCTTCAAAGTCATCTTCATCGTCATCCTCTGCCTCATCTTCTAGGATGATCTTCTTTGCCGATTTTCTCTGAGGGATCTTCCTGCCCCTCAGGAGGCCATCGTTTGGAATCCGTCCTCTGTCAATCTTTTGGTGGCCTCTACTCTTGGATTCCGACTTGCAGAGCCGGTCTGTCAGGCTGACGTCAGGATGTGTTCCATTTGGAGGCTTCCTTTTTCGCTCAGATGCTGGTTTCAGTGTAGTGAAGGACTGGCAGTCCGGGAAGCGTGTGTTAATGCTGATCCTCTTGATGCGGATGTCTGGCAGAGGGAGGGAATCTGCTGAGTCCTTGAAGCGGATCTTTTTGGCAGTTGAAGGAAAATCGCTGGTACTCCGATTGTTCCCTGAGCACTTACGACGTGGTGTGGCTTTCGGCAGCTCAATGAATTTAACAACATCACTGTCTTCATCGGAGCTGAAGAGTTCATCGATTAGTTCAACATCAGAAATATTGAGGCGTTGCCCCGGCGACACTATGTCTGTGCAGAATGTATGAAAGATGATTGAAATAGTCTCATTAATGCCACCAGTCATGAATGAAGACAACTGGACAAGTTCCGTACACCTTCTGAGCAGAGGATCCTGCTCGGCCAATTTCAATATATGCTAAGTAGAAAACAGGCAAGGACCAGTCATAACATAATACATCATGTGACATTTTTAGCCAGCAACTTGCTTTCTGCTAAGCAGGTATTTTTTATGCTTAGCAGCAGTGTGTATATTTGGGCCTTAGAAGAGTATTGTCCTTGCACAAGAAGCTTGCAGCTTGCTTCTCTCTGACTTTAAGAATAAATAACTAAAAATGTTATTAACTTTCATCTGCAAAGGGCAGAAAAGTTCATTTTCAGTGACGGTCCAGAAATCAAGCACAAATACAGGCTTCAAAAGACACATCCGCTAAGGACAGATACCAACAGGTATTTTGGTTTGTCGCTCACGCGTGCTCACAAGTCTTGAAAACAATTTCCAACTTTGAAAAATATTGCATATAATCTCACCACTTTTAGGTGTTTTCGATTTGGATGTTTCCTTGGATTTGTCAGGCTTCTCAGGGCCATTGACCTTGGATGTGTTTTGCCCTTTGACATCTCGCTTCTTGTTAGCTGTCTTACTCGGTGTCTTGCCGGGTGTCGTGCCCAGGTCTTTCCTGACCCCGTTGACCTTTTTTGGTTCCAGGACTGGCTTGAACTGGTTCCCATCAAACAGCCAGCGGACGTACATCACCGGTAGGTCGTCGTTGGTTGTCTTCGGCAGGGCTGTATTGGCGGGAGCTTTCCTTATCTGCATTCAGTCAAAAGCAGGTTTTGGTGAACCTATTCAATCTCAGAACAATGGAAGCCATGCCACTACACTATCAACTGACCTGTCGAATACTATACGATGCAAGCTCTAAAATGTAAAGTTTCTTTGCTTCGGTGAGGTACGGACAGATAGAAGTTGTTGACCATTCGCAGCTGTGGTACCATGGCTTACTCTTTCTAAAATTGACAAAACTTGGGGAACATGTTTCAATCAGTGTAATCTGGTCAGCAGTCCCCACTGTTTAAAATCCAGAACCTTTTACAATGATCTTCATTGCTCCTATTTATTTTCATAGGTCTGATGAACTACAAGTTTTTTTTTTCTGCTGTTGTCCTGCTGACAGTTTCCGACACCCATTTCTGGAAGACCAGGCGTACACCATTCCTGTGTAAAGTGTCATGTTTTTGAATGCATGGTTGGGGAAAATGGCAACTTGTTCTACGACTACATGTACAAAACGGCGCTGGAAAATCGACTGTAATGTGAATTTCGGCAACAACTTTGTACATGTAGATTGACTAATGGTGATTTTATTAATTTTTAGCATCTGGTTCTGTGCACTCTTTGCTTTTGTCATCGTCCACCGTTCATCATGCCCTGCACCTCCTGCAAATATCTTTCTGCATGTTTGATGTGATTTGTGCTGTGTGGAATTTAAATAAACGAGTCAAGCTCTCTTCACGTACAAATTAACAAAATGTTCTCGGAGCAAGAGGCTACCGATTGGAAGGACGGGCTTTACGAGGTCAGGGAAAAAACCCTGGATTTTTACATGAGCATTTAATAACCCATGTTCATTCACCTTGCATTTGCCAAGGATTGTGTCAGCATCAATCTCGCACTCCGTGATCCAGTCCGATTTGGCCAGATAGGCAAAGACTTCGTTGGTGCTGGAGAGAACAGCGCCCTCGGGCAGTTGCCTGCCACGTACACGTTCCTGCATCTCCTTGGGTCGCATGTACCACTGCACGATGGCACGGCGGTGTTCGTTAGAGTCCGTATCGCCTGAATCCATAACATGAAACACAACTTCAAAAGCAACATGGAAAAAAATTTAAATAATGGAGGGACTGGAAATTTTCATAATTTAAATTTTTTATAATTTTACCAAATCATTAAATCTTGGAAAGTGACCAAATTTGAGAGAGGGTCGGACAGACTATCATGGCGCAAGAACTGTGGATGCATTTACAACAGCCAACAAAAGGGTATACTGAGACAGTGTGATAAATTACGCTTAGCAACGGATGATTGGTAAAACTACCAATTTTCAGTAGAATCTACACAACCCTACGGTTGAGTAGAAAGACCGTAACACCAGATCTTTTCAATTTTATTATTGGTTTGTACCTCATAGTCAGTGGCCGCATAATCAGTTTCCGTCTCTTATTTCACAGAGGCATTCACTTGCATGCATCAGATCCTGATGTCGTTTGACATAAATGTCATAAGGTTGTAAGTTTCAACAGCTACCCAATTGCAGCAGTGGTCCAGTGGATAGAGGTGATGTCTGTGAGCCGCAAAGTCATGGGTTCACTTCCTTGCACGGGCGTTCTTTTCACTTTTCCCAGATTGTCGTTTATTTTTTTCACTACCTTTAATCAAGTAGTGCTTCTCCATGAAAATGAATTTTACTTGGCAATTCGTGACTCGGATGATTTGGGGCTTTTCATGGGCGAGTACGGTCCAATGATCAGCGCTAGTTCCCAGCTTCCAGTTGCGGCGCATTCTCTCTTTTTGTGGGACTGGCTTTGTCTCCAAATAAAGGGACTTCTCCAAGTTTAAAGACAGTCTCCGAGTTGTGATGTGCACTCCTACTGACTACAGACACCAGCAAGCATTCTTGCCACTACTGTTGCCTTGCAAAATAAAGGACCAGGACTGGCTATGCTAATGCAGCCTCTGCCATTTTAACACACGACTCGACTATTTACAGGAAAAGTGATTAAATGTTTCCATATTAAAAATCAACTCGGGGTTACTGTGAAAAGATTCGGAATTTTCTTAGCTAAATTTAACTTTCAGGAAATTGTTATCACTTTCTGATTGCTGTTATAACATTTTAAGGGAAACTTAGTGTTGTCTGTATTTCAAACTCTTTCCGTTACCATTATCAAAGAAGTCAATTATCTTGGCCACGTAGCTGAGTCCATCTTCCTCGCTGTCAATGAACACGTTATCATTAAGCTTGATCACTTCACCAGCAATGTTCAAGCCCCTGAAATGAAAAGCTGGGAAATTTCAGATTTCACTTCCCCTATTCAACATGTTCAGAAACAATCTTTTCATTTTTTAAATGTGTACATGCTCAGTATTTTTATGCGTATTTACTTATTTTTAATATCTTATTAATTTTTCACAACTTGATGTGGGGAGATACCTCCAGAACTGTGGGGTCTGGCATAGTTCTGGGGGTAGTGTAGCCCCACTAGTGTGGCACGGACTCTCACTCCCGATCTAAGAATGGATCTGGAGTGAGATTCCGTGCCACACTAGTGGGGCTAGGGGTAGTATGGAGACAGGTCTGTGACCACAGTGATTTTTTGTTACTTTTGTCTCTGCCAATCTTGTTTGTGATGTATTATTGGCACGAATATTTGGATTAAATAAACAATAATAATATTAACTTCACTCCTCACTTTCCCTGTCACTGTTTCCCTGGAATCATAAGCCAAAAGGCCTAATAAGAACGTAGTCATGACAGTCCTAGTTGCCTAGCTGTTACTCATTATCAGGCTTAGTTAAATTTCCCCGACGCGACCGACATGTAATGCGTTTATCCTCTCTCAAAATCAAACTAAGGCAACTTACTCATAATACGTCTTGCCGCGCCGAGACTTTTCTTTCAGCGGTGGTCCAATCCATCCATAAGATTTCCCACCATTAAACGCTAATTTTTTCCGAGTATTCATTGCAGGAAACCACAAAAACTGTCGGTTTACACAACCGTGACAGCAACAACCTCGCGGGAAAGTGGCCTTTAAATTTACCACGTGAGTAGTGAGGGCGCCATAATGGAGATCAATGGTGTAAACTTCTTTCAGTCGAACAGTAGTTCTGAAAGTATAACTTGTAATATTGGTTCCCAAAATATGACTAGATTCACCTATTTGAATTTAAAACCTTTTCATCATATTTTCCTCAATATATGGGTACATCTGTCATTGTATAACAAAAAGAAATGTCGGTCTACCGTCAATCAACTTGACTGACCAAGAATCTCGGCTAAACAGGGCTGAGTTGTTACTCTAATAAATATCTACGACCTTTGACACAAAACCAAGATGGCGAATCGCACGGTGAAAGACGCGCATAGCATAAAAGGCACCAATCCACAGTATTTAGTCGAGAAGATAATCAGATCTCGGATCTATGAATCGAAATATTGGAAAGAGGAATGTTTTGCTCTCTCGGGTGGGTATTTTCCTGATTTGTTTGTAGACCTTGTTCATGGGAAGTGCAACATCAAAACTCGGCTTTCATCTCGTCACACTGCTGGTTCACGTCACGTCACCAAACAACATTATGGCTAGGCCCTGTGCATCATTGGCAACATTGCAGTACACGTTCCATGTCATGAACAGTGTTGAATGTCCTCTCATGCAGACATGCTTGATTGTCAACTAGGCCTATATGCCTATGGCCCATATATTATTGCCATGTGAAATGCAGTAACCAATACTCAGAAGGTGAGGTGGAAAGAATGTCACATCCTTTCAATACAGTAATTTATAAGAAAACCATTTAAATACAACAAGTAGAACCAGCGAGCCAATAAAAATAGGCTTGCTATTGCTAGGGCACTGTTTAAAGTGGGAAATAATGTACTGAAACTTCTGAATAGTAAATTTCCTTGCTCTGTGCAGACAGGCCCATGTATGCATGGATGTGTTTAATAAACCTTGGTTAGGCCTACATGATGGATGGCAACTTTAGCAATTTTGGGCATGTTGGGCAACTGTGTATTTTTAATGTTCACACACATTTCTATTTAATTGCCTTTATCAATAATCAACTGTATAGCTGAGTTGCTGGTGGATAAAGCCATGGAGCTACGCTACATTGGTGGGACGTACGGCGGCAATATCAAACCCAGTCCATTTCTCTGCCTCATCTTGAAGATGCTGCAGATTCAGCCTGAGAAGGACATCATCATTGAGTTCATCAAGAATGAAGACTTCAAGTGAGTGCTGAGCTGGAAACGGTCAGAAAATGTGGGGATTCACAGTGCCGTGTAAGGGGTTTCTGAAAGCATGCTGAACAAAAATATCAACTAGAATATGAAACAACTGTTCCATCCATTACTTGAATAAGGAAACAACTCGGGTATTTATGTATTTTTAAAATGACTATGGGGTAGAAGTAAATATTTGTATGAAAACTCCATACAACTCTGAACTGGTTACTTGTGCATATCAGAAATGGAGGAAGTTTGGCATGGAACAAATCCCTTTTTTTTCTCAAGTAAAACAAAGCTCTTTCTGTGACTGAAGCTTTTCCTTCTTGAAATAGTACACAAGCATAGTTGCCAATCGTAACTGTTGTATTCTTGCGTCCTTTTGGGTTGCAGGTATGTCCGAGCTTTGGGTGCCATGTACATGCGACTGACTGGTGATTCCTTAGATATCTACAAGTACCTGGAACCTTTGTACAATGACTACAGAAAAATCAGACGGCAGAATCGAGAGGGAGGTAAAAACCTGGCTAGCTGTTTGTGTTAACCCCAAACTTCCAGTGCTCTTCAAAATCCACCACAAAGCTTTACTCTTAGTGTGGCCCAGTTTTTGAATTGAGCCCCTTCAGAGTTAAAGTGCAAATCATGTAATTTTGGTTTCCTGTGCAGTTGAGAGTTTCGGAGGATTGAGGGAGGTTGTTGCAAACAATCATAGGAACTGGTATCAAGGATCTGTCGTAATCTGATCATTAATAGGCTTGAGCTTACTGTTTCCCCGACTTGTTTTGAAGAGCCTCCAACTTGAACTTGGGTTTGGTTAGTTGTTTACATGCATGCAGGTAACTGATGTTTAATCTATTCCCAAAGAACCAAGCATTTCTAGTAGGGCCTACAGTATATTCTTTCTTGGAATACAGAGTCAAACATTAGATTAGTAAGCATTCCAGTAAGATTGATTAATAGATTATTTTGTGTCTTTAATTCAAAACCGATTAATCAGTTTCTGTGATATGGCATTTGAATATCTTACGAATGCTTTTTTCTTTTGCAGAACTAGGTTGAAATTTTTTCAGATACATGGAACGTTGGGAATTTTAGTACTTTATTTTTGAATGAGTTTTGGGGTCGGTTTGGTGTCTCTGAATGTTTATCTCGTCTGTGTTCTGCTAGAGTTTTACCTGTCCCACGTGGACGAGTTTGTGGATGAGCTGCTACATGAAGAGAGAGTGGTGGACATCATCCTACCACGGCTCCAGAAACGTCAAGTCTTGGAGGAGACGGAGCAACTAGAGCCGAGGGTGAGAGCAAAGGAGGAGCAAACCATCTGTGATCAGTTTTGATCAATCTCTCCTTTTTTTTTCCAAGAAATGGTATTGACTCTTCAGAATAAAATAACCGATGTCGACAGGGAAGAGTGACTTTAAATGTATTTTGCCTGTAATAGGTCAGTGCTCTGGATGATGATGTGGACGAGGCAGAGTCCTCCAGCGAAGATGAGATGGAAGTACAGGTAAAGGAACTCTTCATCCCCTTCCACTCTTCGCTTTGTTCTTCTCTTTATTATGTGTACCTATGACTTTCCAGTCTGTTGCCTGCCGGCTTTGTCCAAGAAAGTACCACCAGGAGCCCCATGCAGGGGTTTTTAGAAGTTCTTGCAGTCGGTGAGTTGAGTGAACAAAAAACATTGACGTATTTACAGAGTCCAGAGTAACTCACGAGCCTGAAATACTCACAGCGTGTGCTCAACTTCCACAATGCACATTTCCTGATCATGCTGAACTGTGCCGAACACAAACCTGCTCTCACTGCAGATGTTGGTAAATCGTAAAGTCAGTCAGGGCTTGGTTAATATGGGACATGTCCTCGGCTGAACCCATTGACTCATCGGGACACGAAAGAAACTCCAGTTTCCCCTTGTATTATTTCATCGGTTTGGCGACTCAAAAGTTGCCAGTTGGAGAAGAAAAGTTAAATTCCCCTTTGTTGCTGAAAAAACTGTCATACAGAGTCGCTAATAAACCCCAAAGTCAGAACTATTTTATCAACATCGAATGTTGATGCAGTGGCCAATAGTTGGCTAGCTGCAAAAAGCATTGCCACGTCTTTGTCTTTTTTGGGACCCGTATTCAGGAGTCTCGTCGGTCGCCAGACAGACACCGAAGTGGGAGACATCGCAGCAACTCGCCCCGACGTCGGCGAAGTCGCAGCCGATCCCCTATCAGAAGGTAAGGCTCTTGAGGCTTACAAAGACGACTCTGAGATATGAAGCAGCTACTTGTGCCTACCCAGATCCGTTGAGCGTTAGCTTTTGTTGAGTCATTTGTGTAGTCCTCTTCGATGTCATCCTTTTTTCCCCCGAAAAGCTACACTTTTTTGCGGTCTTGAAATATTGTTGATGTTCTTTCAGACCCCACCCATGGGAGCCAAAGTCCGGTTTATATGTTACTGCACACACCTAGTGATGACATCATGTGGAATAGATTAACTCTGAAAAAGAGAGGACAGGCTTTTTTTATTATAGTTGAAAATGACAGCAAACCCAAATGCACAACACACATCATAAAAAAAGTGTGCCAGCTTGCATACCTCCAACTGTGAAAGGAAGAAGTCATACTTTTGGGTTAAACTCTCATCTGAAATAATAAATTTAGATTAGTTGAAAGGAAAACAGTCTTTGAAAAAACTTTGAAGAATAAGAGACCAAAACGAAGCGTCCTAGAGCACACTACTGCCTTTCAGACTTGATCCTCAAACCTAAGACACTTTGCTTTACTCTACAAGACGTAGCAGATCACCTCGTCGGAGGAGTGTGTCTCCTCGCAGAGAGCGCAGCAGACGCAGCCCTCGCAGACACCGCAGCCGGTCTCGCGAGCGACGGCACCGGTCAAGGTCACCCGGTCACCGACACCGCGACCGTGATGATGATCACCATCGTAGTAACCGCCACAGGTCACGCTCACCTGATGAGCACAGGTATCCAAAACATGCCAAGATTGAGACTCCTGGAAAGAATTACGCATTTTGATTTGCATTCATAAAGTGGTGAAAGGAAAAAGGTATTATTTGTTTGTAGATCAAACCATGTGTGCTATAAAAAATGAAAATAGTTTTGGACTTATAATTTTGGCCATTTCGTTGGGACATGTCCACGGAGGATCGCATACCCTGAGATTGCCTCACATCGACAGGAATAATTGTGACCCCGTCACACAGCCAAAGTCTTATTTTGTTGTAATGTTCATTCCCAAGAGATTTATCATCCTGTAAATTGTGTAAGATTCTTTGAGAGACCTTTAACTCAAAAGTGGCTCCGGGGAGTTCCGACTCAGTTTGAGCTTTTGAGATGCTCTCGTCATGGAAGCCAGAAAAAGCTGTATCTACTATTTGGAGAAAAGAAACTGATATCGACGATCTTGGTTTGATGTTTTGTTTTCTGTCAGACACCAGAAGACTTCCCATAAGAGCAGCAGGCACAGCAGATCAGACAAGGACCGAGACGACAGCAAACGAGGCCACAAGGAGGCAGACGACATCCAAGCCATGAACGAGCTGAGGGCGAGTCTAGGGATGGGACCACTCAAGTAGAAGTTGTCTTTGGGGTTAAAGTTGTCACAACGACCTCTGAACGTGTAGCTGTCGCAAATTGTTTTGTTCGGGAAAGTTTGAACTAAAATGGGCAAGCGATCATTGTGTGTGAAAACTGAAATGACCTTTGACCTTTGATAGTACCAGCTGGTACAGTGCCTCTACCATGACTTGGGGGTTGCGTAAGCGTGTAGTGATCACTTGCCCGAATTTAGTAATACAGAAAAAAATGGTGTTTTCCCGGCTTGTACTTGACAGGAGAGGACTGGGACAAGTCTAAAAATAGCAGCACGGTAGTTTTACACACCGTTCGCTTACCTTTGAATTTAATTTTAAAAATTCAAAAGTTGCTTTGAAACAAGGCCTGTTAAAGCAGTGCTTTCCTCTGAAAGGGAAAAAAAAAATCAATTTTGTAAGAAAGTCATTTCAAATGAATAATGCTCGCTACAGTTCCTATTGTGTATCACAATTTATTATTTTTAGGACATACGATTGTACTTTATTGCCTCATCATTTCTGTTGATTTTAATTTGTAATTACTACTGTTCAAAAACACCAAACCAGTTTTTAGTGCATCCAAAATGCGCATAACTAATTCAGAATGAGGTGTTTGTACAGATGGTCAATTATGAAATGGCAATTGCCGACAAGCTTAACAGAGGGAAGAACTGTCTGCCTCTGAGCTAGTCGAGCCAGCCTCAGATTTTGGAAACAAAGATGGCTGTTCATGATGTGTACAATAAAGTGTGCGGCTATTGTGTAGCCGCTGACCAAGTGCGCTGCCGCACACACCTGCCAATTTGTTTTTAACAACAATGGTGACACTCATGTCGCAATTCCTTTCTATACGCGGCTCTGGTCTGCCCCATGCATAAAAAAGATATTGCGTCTTTTTACATAGCAGCAGCGTTCCTTCGGTAGGGAGACACAGCTGCACGACCACGTTCACATGCGTTTGGTGCCTGCCGCGCCAAGCATGCTTGGCCAATTTCTATCCAATTTTTACAGTCCTGGTATGGGCTGTCACCGCCCATTTGAAATGGACCCTGTTAATATCTTCTCTTCTCTGCCACTGAGGGGACACTTCAACACAGAGCAGATACAGTTTTGTTAGTGGGTTGCAGTGGGAAACATTTTGCGTTTTAGTGGAAAGAGAATCTTCTGCGCCATATTTAACATCACTTTGTGGTCTAGGTTTTGCTATTGTGTCGTGTGTTGAGTCTTGTTTTGGAGAAATAAAATAAGGATGAAGTCAATAGTTGTGCATCTCTTTGTGTAACCTTCTTCTGTGTTTAACCACTTTGTCGACAGCAAGCTAAAAGACGAAGCTAGCGAAAAGATAAAAGCAAAATGACCATCAGTGGCGTAGCCACGGGGGGCACGTGCCCCCTCCCACAAATTCCCGATGCCCCTCCCCCCAGTGCCCCCCACTAAGAAAACGGACGAATGGACATTGAACAAGGCTAACAAAAACTTGCCCTAAAAAACCACACCACTGAAAGCTGGTGCCCCCATAAGATGCCGGTGCCCCCCCCCAGTACAATCCTAGATGCGCCACTGATGACAAGAAAAAATTCTGCTGATGCGATTTGATAGCTATTAGCACAGTGCCTCGTTATGCGAGCCGACAGAAATTTGACACCAGGTCACAAATTCTCGGGGGAAAAAAATGAACTGTGAAAACTCATTCCCAAAATCTCACTTCGGACGTGAACACCTAAAAAAACCTGCGATTTTATTGACCCACTCGAGAACGGGAGAGGTCGACAGCCTTCTTAAGTGGAATTTTCCTCTCCAAGCTCTGGGTAAGATTTCGTCTCGACGTCGGCAGCTGGGGATCACCGAGTCATTTTCTTAGATCTCCGCGAGAGACATTCATACAGTATATGTCCATCGCGCGTGTTCTACATTACACTCTGATATTACAATTTCGGGGGATGTTATTCTTCCTAAATGCGACCCAAAAATGGCATAATACCTGAAATGAAGTCTCCTAAATGATGACGTCCTTCCCATAAATAATTGATTCTTGGCCCTATTAAAAAGACATTAACCATTCCCTTTAAAAATCTAGAAAATTTACCTGTATGTGACTTGTCTGATATATTCTTGCGTTTGCTTACAGAGCAAGAAAATTTGGCTGCTGCACTTATGCGTTAGATGCGTTTATAAATTAAGAATAAAATGTGTGAATGCCTCAGGCCTATATTAAAAATGACTGACAGTATAACTTCTTTCACTAATGATGGAGGAATATTATTTATCTATGCACTAATGTATTCTTTGAGATTTGATAGTGTGGTCATCGTCTTGTGGAACAAAGAAAACAGGCTAACATCTTGTAAAATTTAATATTCCAATGTGTCCAGTACACTAAACTTTGCGAATCGCATTTTGTCGAGGTAATACCATTTGTTTTGTATAAACGGGCGATAATAATCGTGCGATAATCTGAGCCTTCAATCGACAGCTCATATCTAGTCTCCTAGGACGGCAACTTGTCAATAAAGGAAAAAAAAAATATTCACATCAGCATTCTTTGAAAATGCAACGGGGGCCTTCTCCCAAGACGACCCCGCGGCGTTTCCTCGGACGCAGTTATAGGACCGTGATAGATTTTTCTTCATAAAGCGTTCGTTTAACCTCCCGACATCGCAGCGTTCGGTGCATGGCTCATGGCGATCCGCGGCCAGCCTCCGCTGTTTTTCTTGACGATTGTTCCTCGGGGTATTTGCATTTTCTTTTCCATCGCTCCTAAGAGTTTATCCTAAGAAACCAGTATCCAAGAATTAGCCAGCTAAAGCCTGAGTCGTTAAGCTGTTGTTATTATAATCAACGACAGTGAGTACAATTTAATCTTAGTCCTTGAGACAAATAGGCCCTATTCCAAGTATTGTTCTGTAATTTAGGTTATTAGAGATTGTTATAAATGTATATTATATTATTCAATCAAATTGTATTTCTTAGGATAATATTTCAGGATTCATCAACCATCATGAGAGAAAACAGTACTGAATTAATTGTTTATGACCTCTTTTTTGATCGACTCACATACATTTTGTATGCAGTGAGAAATAACACCGGGAAATTTTCATTATGACAAACAATAATCGGTCTAACAATAACCGTCTTAAACTCTGTAAGACGAACTGGCTTCGGATGTGATATGCTTGAAGGGTGGAAAATATGCTAATTAGACAATGACGTGTTTTTTCCGGTGAAAAGCGGTCACGTGGTCCTGCTATACCGTCAATTGTCACTACGTCAGATGACGAAAAAGCAAACATGTATTACCGTGAGGTGCTGTGACGAGTCATTATTTTGTGACACATGAAAGCAGCAACTTTTATACTTGGATGGAGAGCCGGGTCATTTTGGACCATCTCGTCTCCGCGGGGGGGGGACTCAGCTCTTTCATTGTTTTGCATATGAAGACACTCATCATCAATACAAATGTGTAGCTTAATATGACACATAATATGTGTGGCGATATTGGTGAAAATGTTGAGGAAGGGGGGGGGGCGAGTCCGGGTCCGCCCCGTGTCAGGATGAAAAGAGCTACATGTTTATGTATGCACACTGCAGGACAAACGTAACATGCTGATTTTCGCGCCTATTTTGCAGGAACATGTTTCTTCAATCTAGCTAAATACAGATAAATGGCCATATCTATCATCTTTAAGTTACAATTTCCGACGTGATACATTCCGATCGCTCTTGCTGTTCTCACGAAAAAATCTGAGGTTTGTAATCGCTGCGTATAATTTGTTTACCAACGTTCGGAGAAGTTTCGCGCAGAGGTATGTTATACCCACCTGTTCGCTGCTCGACAAGACAACGCAGCTTTTCCCGGGAAGGAGCGCCTTTATCTTCTTTTGTCCTCTGCAAGATGTCAAATCCTGCAAGGGAAAATAAAGCACCGGAGGAAATTACGTCACAAGCTGAGGACGTGATTGGTCGGTTGACATGGGAAGACGATAAAGCTGTTTAAAAATAGCGGTAGAGAAGACCGATGTGATGAGACTTTTTGAACAACGACTGGGCCCCGAGAGGAAGTGGTACAAACTCTGCCAGCAATAATTCCTCCCAGTGCACCGAATGGAGTTCATGATTCCAATCGGAAGAAATGGACCACAAGTAATGAATACATGGAAGAACTATCCTGCCAGATAGTAAGTGTCGAGCATAGGAATGTGAAACGTCTCAACTCCGAATTCTTTTTCTAACAACGATCATAATACGTACATGTGTGTGTGTTAGGATTCGGCAGTCTTATTACAGGCCATTTCGTTAATCATGCGTAACATCTGTCGGAGGTCGTTGGGAAAGAATTCCACTTACGGATGTCACTTGACACCCTATGCACAACCCTATGAAACTGGTCTGATAAATTCCGTTTCCTTAGCGAACACCTCAATGTTTTCACTGCTAAATTTGACTTGCCAAGACATTGTAATGCTTTCAGATGGCTGATGGGTCACTGCAGGGAAAAATCGGTGGCGTTCGCATATGGAATTATTTCTGGTCGTTGTAGCGTTTATGATAAAACTGGAAATGTTTCTCAATTCAATGTTAATTTTTATAACAAAAAAGTGAGTACAAAGAGAATGAAATTTACGTCATTCAGAAAGTGGTTAATCTATATTTTGTCCGTGGCATTTTTAAATAATATATCACGTAAAATATTAATACTTAAAACATTTAATTGCATGGATAGAAAATTAAATTCTATTCAGATTAAAGAATAAACAATAACACAAGCCATCATAGTCATGTCACGAAAAAGAAATCCTGACTATTCAGCCTACAGGCTGGCCGCAAACAACAATGCCGACTTTAGCGTCATTTCATTTCCAAGGTTATTATTGTACCAAATCATACAATTTCGATTTTACATTCCGAAACGATGGATGCACATCGTAATTACTTTTTTGAAGTACCAACCACTAATGTTTCAGGATTTAGTAGAGATGCGTATTTTTGTAAGGTCAATTTAATCATCAGACGAAATGGAAAAGGGATTAAACCACACATTACAGCTCGGTATGCTCTTCAAAGGGATATGCATGCATGACGGTACCGGTTTGGGCGTATGTGAATTTTGTAGGATGCGTCATTAAAAATTGGGAAAAAGGTCCACACACGCACATAACTAATTTCTCCTAACGGTGGTAAATCGGCCATCAGAAAGCGATTACATGTCCAAAAAGTCAAATTTAACAAGAAAAATATTGAAGCATTTAGTTAGAAAATACTTCGAGAGATTGTCAGACTTGCGTACAGGGTGTTTTAATAATAACGTCCATGTATGGAATTCTTTCCAAACGGGACTACATTGTCTTGATTATCAAAGCTGTTAAAAATTGTGAAAAAAATATTATCAAATTTACTTATAGTTCTTGACGCTCCGTAGGACACCCATTTGACATCATTTTACATTCTTTGCAGACATGGCGTTTTTATGTATGTACGTGTATCTCTTACTGATGCAATATTTATGTTTGACGACATCCGACAACGAGGCTGATTTCCCGGAAGCTAATGCGACAACAGACTCATACAATCACAGCCAGGCGATTGACCAAGACCAAAATGACGTCATCCAAGTTGCAGTTTTCGCCACCAGCATGGTCATAGCAGGGCTGGGCCTGCTTGGCAACGGCCTGGTGATCGGACTCTTCTTCCTCAACTGGAGCCTCACTCGCACCCTGACCAGCCTGTACATCTTCCACCAGTCTGTCATCGATTTCGTCAGCTCGGCCATGTTCGCCGCCCTCCAACTGGACCGGTGGAAGCCCCTCCTCGCTGTCGAGGGGTGGGTGGGCGTGGTCTCCTGCAAGGTGTGGTATTCCAAGGCCCTCTTCTGGTCCCTCCTTCACATCTCCACCATCAACCTGGTTCTGGTGACCCTGGAGCGCTACGTTTCGGTCCTGCACCCGATCTTCCGCCGGAACCACTTCACTAGACGCAAGGCCAAGTTGACCATGCTCCTGGCCTGGCTGGTCGGTCTCTCTTACCAGTCCTACTGGGTGGTGGTTTCGCAGAATGACCAGGGTCGTTGCTACCAGGAGTTCCCTAGCGATGTCATCCGGAACCTCTTCGGTGGGCTGACCTTCCTGGTGGAATACCTCATCCCTTTGTCCATCATGTCCTTCGCCTATGTGCGCATCATCTCTCGGCTCAAGAAACTCTCAAAGTATGGCGACCGATCCGCCAGATCGTCTTTGTCTCCTCGGAAACGAGGTATGAAATTAATGCTCTCACATAATAAGTCGGCAATTTGATTAAAATCATAAAAATCCACAAATTCACAGAACAGGCTACTAAAACTATCATGTATTACATTTTAGTCCAAGTGTCATTCAATGTCAATTTGATACCCAATATGCGTCAGGATTGAAGCATTTCATCCCAAGTTGGGTAATATGCAAAAGCCTAACCCTTTGATTTCATTTACCATAGAAAATACTGAAGACTTTCCAGGAGGTCATTGACTCTAAAAAGTTCTTCAAATAAGTATCTTGTTTATATTTTAATGGAACTATAACAGAACTGCTGGTAAATTAAAATACACTACGCCTAATTTGTTTCCATTTTACACCTGTTGTGTTGATTCACTGAATTCTCATAACTTTTAAAACTTGTTCATAATAGTAAAATAACACACAAGAAGACTTCGCATCCCGTTAAAAAGCAATTCCTTGTTGCAACAATATGGGTTGCAAAATAACCATATCGTAGGTGTGAAAATCAACAAGAAACTTCTGGTTATGTTTCAAACGATAATATAGACAGAAAAGTATAAGGAGATAATTTAACAATTCTAGTTTATTCTGTTGAGAAAAATATAAGACACAATATGGTTTCTTTCTTAACATATCCATCCTTAATTTTGTCGATTTGGTAATTTCTCTATAGCTCCTTCATCAAATAGCCCAGTTGGGTTACGCGATCGTCGCCGCTCCGGTCCCACCCAACTCATGCTGGTCAAGGCTCGCCGCAACGTTACCAAGACCCTGTGCCTCGTCTTCGCCACCTACGTCATCTGTTGGACCCCGGTGGAGATCGAGTACATCGTGTACAGCGCTGGGTTCCTCAAGAACCAAAGCATCCCGGAACTCCGCGCCACCAAGGTGTTGGTCATGTGTAACATGTGCGCTAACCCGTTCATCTACGCGGCCAAGTACCGGGAGTTTCAAGAGGCGGCGCGCCGCACGTGGAACCGACTCCAGTGCCGGGAGTTCTCCACGGCCCCCTATCCTCCGTCCCCCTCAGTTTAACAAGAAGATGGAAAACAATCAACCCCGGTATTTCGAATGCGTATGTGTATCTCCAGATTTCACGATTTAAACTCCAGAACGAACATACCACCTCAAAGAGTTCGAAATCTTCGAAGTCACCATGCAATCCGACGGAACGTTGTAGTTCTGCATTGTGTACACAATGTCTGACTTGAAATTGCACTGCACGTTGACAGTCGTATGTATTCTAAAACAGGAACGGTTTTTGTATGTCATCTTTCCTACAGACTTTGTATATTTTGTATCCTGTGTCTCAAAGTTGAGATCGGCCCAAAGCTTACCAGTACCCGTAGAGAATTCAGTGTAAATTAAGTAAATTTAAAACGCATGATATATTTTTGCATTTCGGTGTCATGCTGAAAAAGAAAATATTTGTTTGTTCCGTTAATGACGCTAAGATATCTAATTACTTTGAGCTTGAAGGGAAAACTTTTACGTTCAAACAATTCGCATAAAATGATATATTGATGGTATAATGCCGTTTTAAAGGCTGCAACGATGACAATGCCTTAAATAGTACTTTTTATTTTCTTTGGGCGCTTTAATTTTTCGTTTTAGGATTTGTGCTGAAAAGATACCACAGACGGCTAAATTACAACGCAAAAAATAAAGATATTTATGTATAAAATTATATATAACTTCATTCCTTGTTTCATAAATAAATGCACATGCACAGTTTGTAATGTTAACTTGTTATTTAACAAACACAAGAGTTTTAAAACACGAAGAACATGCTCATGGAAAATATTTTCTGATTTTCAAATATGTTGCGTTTGAAGTCCTCGTGTGAATGGGGTTGCTGTCGTGGATGCAAAAGGACTCGAGTAATAATGCTCCAAATTAGTGAATTTATTTTTTTAAAGAAATCTGATATTAGATCACAAGGCAAACGAACTGAGAAAAAAACTTGTCATGATCGGTCTCCTTTTGAATACTTGGTTTGTTAACATTCAACATGAAGTTATTCAAGTCATGCAACAGTGGAGATCGGTACGTAGAAAAAGGAAAAGAAAAATTGTGGAATTTACTTTGGAATTGTGATGCGTTAATTTTAGGAAGCCGGGGGACCCAGATGAGCGGCATTGGAAATTTCTACGCCCATCTCTTTTAGACAAAAATCTCGCAGTGTCTATTTGTCATCATTCCCTGACTGCTGTGTGGGTAACGTGTAACTTTCTGAGCACGGGAATATCACAAGGAGGGATTTGTTTCCAGTCTTTGACAAATATGACCGATTTTTATTGAATGGAAATCCTTACCGTGTTGTGTTGCGACCGACAGATGCCAAAGGCAATGCCCCTCCCACATCATGGCATCATTGCAGGTCCTTTGTGGGAAAAATGGCTATCACTTGGCGCCACACTGCTCGCCATTTATGCCCACGTAATCTAGATAGCAAGAATGGTGGCATTCACTGACAGGAGAGATCCTGAAATTTGATGCAGTCCCCCGTCCCTGCAGAGCACCGGCGTGTACGCTCGTGACCGATGCCCAAAATGAAGGCGAAAATTCCTGACCAAGTCGACACCATTGTTCAGAAAATAGGACAAGGAATGTCAGGCATGCAGTGGGAAAAGTGAACTTTCGCGAGGGTCTGGATCATGCGTCCTGCTCGTGCACTTTGCATAGGAACAAAAGACAAATCCACAAAAAGAAAAAAGCTGCTTCGTGTAAGTTCGTAACAAAAGTCGAGAGGTAGGCCTAAGCCTAAGGAGGATTAATCATGACATTTGCGTTGAGTATACCCTACCCCCCCCGACGTTTCTAGTCACTGCAGAATGAAAACAATTGGACCCTTTCGTGATAACAACATATGCCAAAGCGAGACTAGAATTTAACCCTTGAAGGATGGGAAAAAACCCAGTTCAGTACTCTCACCAAGTTCTACATTGAAATCCGTCGCAAATGATTTTAGAGTGAGCACTGGCCCGTTTTCTAAATAAAAAGAGGTTTCGCCATTTTCCTCAACCTCATAATTATTATGCTGCGCGAAATAATGATGCTCGAACCTCTGTGTCATTTATTGACGTAGCACCCAATACTTTGATTGAGCACTACACAATTTCCATCATCCAAAATGGCGCCGGCAATACATAAGCGGCCTTTGCCCGCTTGTTTGTTAAAAAAAAAACCTGGATGACAGCCAGCGTGGGCTTTAATTATTCAATTCCCTCTTCTTCTTCCTGAGCCAATTATCCATAACACAAGCTGCTTCCCTCTTCCGAAGCTTGTTGCGAAAATAGAACGAGTAAAGACCCACTTTTCTTTCTCCTCGCCGAAATCTAGATACGACGGGATTGGTGGCCCAATTTGGCCATCATGCCGCGCCGGGCCACAAGTAATTCCGCCCTTGCACTTTGGACCGATCCTGCTCTCAGTCAGAAATCTGCGACATCTAATTTTGGAAATTGACCACTCTCTTTACATCTCATCCAAACGTGTATTTGTTGATACAGACGCACTGGAAATCACATGGGCACATTTTATAAGGACGGAGGCAAAAAGCTTCCCGTGGAACGACGAAGGCCGTACATAAAAGGTAATCGACAAATGACGCATTATCTCAACAAAGACAAGTCCCCAGTGATCCAACGCATTAGTGAAATTAGACCGATTTGGTCAGACATTAGATCTAGACACAGAAATTAAACCATCGCCTGTACAGTGAATGACATCAACATCTTGTCGTCCATCAATGCAAACGTTCACACCGAAACCCGAAGGCTTTTTAAACAGCCGTAACTGCCTGTCTGGTTAATAGTTTTTCTGTTGTTTGTTTCCTTGTTTGGGGGCGTTTGTTTATTATTTTGAGGGTAAAAAAATTAACAGATAAATTTTCTTGGCTTCTTATTATTCCCCGCAATCGTAGTACAACAGGGCTGTATAGATTAGCCGTGCTACAAAGCATGGGCGCAAAACCCATAGGCTAAGGGAATATTATAATCATATCCCTCAGTTTTGGACGAGGGATGTGCCATATAGGATCACCCCCCCATTTTTTGTGGCAAACAAAATTTAAATGTTTATAATCATCCCAAATGCTATCAATACCAAGATAAAAATAGTAAAAAGATAGCTCGATAATACATCACTGCTAAATGATACTGGTTTCACATGTACAGAGTAAAGGATACAGTTACCGTGCTTATGCTAATTTGATTTTCATAATTGGGATGACTTTCCATCAATTTGAGGAGCCAATAATGTACTCGGTTCATACGTCATGTCGTCACCGTTCTCACGAAGTGACGCTAATGTTCAAAGAATGAATTTTTGTCGATTTCCATTTTTTTCAATATTCTCTTATACAACACCGTGCTTGACCATTTTGACGTGCTCCCACAAACAAAACATCATTAATGTCATCGTTACATTAATGTTGCCAAGGGCAAACATCTTGAAAACGGCATTTTGCGTTTTCACGAAGAGACGCAACCCTAAACGTCCTTTGAACATGCACAAAACGTCTTGCAAGGAAACGGCTTAAAAGTAGGTCAACCGGGATTTTTATTTTCACGAAGTGACGTTAGCTTTGTTAATTCACAGTTGTGCGCGCGTGAAGACGCGATCACCTTCCCTGTGACGATTACACATTGAACAGAAGGACGCTCATCATGATGTACAAACACGTAATTTTCGTTTTCTCGAAGTGGCGTTAACCTTTGCTAATTATTTTTTGCTAATTAACCCTTGTTTTTCGTAGCAACTTCTCGGGCTAGGCGAATGATTAGACATCAAAGAATCATTTAGGGGTTTTTGTTACATGAAGTTGTAGATTCAGATTATTACAGATTTCAGAAGGGAGAAAAAATGTTTAAAAAAAGGAATACATTTTCTGTTAACCGTTAATGATACAAGACGATATGCAGGTAATTTTATAGCATCGGAAAAATGCATGGATCCTACGAAACCAAACACTATGGAGGGGTGGTGTCTCAGGGACCGTCAATGGGAGTGTCACGTGTTAAGTTCAAGCCCCCCCACCCTCACTGGTCATCCAAATCCCCCGCTCGCTGGCATAAATTTACGCCACCACTGCAAAGACAGTGTGTTGTTCAGCATAGAAAATATTTGTCAGTAAAAAATTAATAACGTCACAATGTATTAAGAGCGCAAAAACTATGACAATGTACCACGTAACTGGTAGCTTAAATGTAAGGTTAAGTCAATTCGAAGAGTTACATATTCCAATATTAGACCTTCCGATCGAATATTCGGTCGTACCAAAACAAAACAGAAAAGTGCTTTGTGACCTCTGATCACGTGCATTCGGCTGCCTCTTTAAGTTACATTTTGAAATATGCTTTATTATGCTTTATTCGAAATGCATACGAATTCATGCTCCTGACATTGGAATTCGCCAGTTTCCCAATACAATGGACATTATAGGACTTAAGTGTCTCGAGCTAGGAAGTTAGTTAAGACCTATTATAGACTAAGGTTTAATACACAAGATTTAGCAGTTCTCGCAGAGCATCGAAACGAGGGACACAGTAACATTTGATGTTTAATTAATTAATGTTACACTTTCCATGTTCCCGTAATTATTCAATAACATACGCTTTATATTTCAATGTTGTATCATGTCTGAGAAGCGGAACTCGGTTTCACTGAACAAGCTCAACGATGAATAATTCCTGTAGCATTGTAATTGGAATGGATACACAGTAGGCCCATTTTCGCTGCAAATCATGACTGACGGAGCTTCTGCGGTTGTGCGCCATGCGCATGCGCACTTCAGCTGGCCGCGCGTGACGTAGCCATTTCTCAAACTCCGCGTCGTCCTCTTACGGCGGCAGCAGCAGTATTCACCCCTGAGTCCCTGGCCCCATCGGCAAATTATGGTTCGGCATGGACGGCGGTTACCCTCACTCCTCCCCTTTAAGCACGTAATAGGTAGCCGCAGACAGGAATCTTTCTTCATCCATGTGAACATTTCAAGCATGTAAAAATGGCTCTGTGTTCAGTGCAGCCGATCGACAATGAAGTCGAGGTTTTAATAAAGGGCCGCAGACTTCAAGTAGGAGCCAAATTGAGCTAAAGATTGTACATATCTCGCAGATTTGAGAGCGTTATTAGTTTATTCAATATACCTCGCTGTATACGAGGCAATTTCCATCGCAAATGAACCGGGTACATGCGCACTTCAATAAATTTGACTGTGGGATTTCCTGCGGATGATCGCCGCTATTCTGACACAAAATCGATTTTAAAAAGAGGATTTCGGCTCTCATTGCTTTCAAACTTCCCAGTGGCATAAAATGTCTCCTTTTTCAAAGTTAGCTTGAATTTGAACTCGCTCCAATGACCAATAAATCACTGCACTTTCACAGGTTCAATTATAACGACCAATCACGCGCGTCGATAGGACTCCTTCACTTTTTTATGGCACGCTGTCATTGATTGGATTGGAGTTGTCGACGCCCGCATTAGGGCCTATTTGACTGGCCCAAATTATAACGTGTGAATGCGTCCGTTGATATGCAGCTCAGACGGATGTAGAGCAAACCGACCACATCTGTCCGGACTAGCAGAACTAAAGCGGGTCGAACGTTAAAGATGCGTTGCTATGGCAAAAGTTATCCTTTCATCTTCAAGTTGACAACCACTGACCGTGTTGTGTAATTGGATTACAATGAGACATGATCGTGTCGAGTTGCTAGACCAGCGCCGTTGGACGATGCGGTTTCCATATCACTGATTCGAATTACAAACATGTTTTTCCAGAACTCCCATCAACCCTCTAGAAAAACAATGCTACGGGTGGGGTTGCATTGAAACCAAATCCAAATTTGAAACGACAATCACAACTGCATCAAAGCTATCTCTGAAGCCCGTAAAAGCGCGCTACCCCGTATATCCTTATATCCCCATATCCCCTATCCTCTCTGTTAATAAACTTCTTTATCACAACACGATTTCACAAGTCAATTTTACAGGTGAATTCTATACTGAACACGAAGAATACCATAAGAATTATCCAGATATTTTCAAAGATCTCATATTTATTTCTTCATCCGTAAATAGTTCTGTCAGTCTCTTCTCGTCGTTTCTACAAATCTGGTACTCTCGATATCCATTTTGAATAAATTCCAGACAAATCGTCAACAAGAACGAGAAAATGGAAATATTTCTGATCCCCATTTCAATTTGTCAACATCAAGAACACCCATTCCCCCCGGCAACTCGGTTCGCTTCAAAACTAATAAAATGAAATCAGTTTGTTTTTAAATAGGGAACGGTCACACGAAGACTTTCAGAAAAAGAATTTTTTTTTAGCTCCACACCTAAAGAACATTTCATTAAACACCCTTGCATAATTCCAAGGGTTATTATCTCAACTGCATAAGCCAATAAAACACAAATATGTGAAATCTGTCTCATTCTTCTCAAATGTCAAAACTGTCTAAAACACACTCCATTAATAGAACTATACAACACAATGAAGCTGATTGCAACTGATAGAAAGAAGTCATAAATAAACAAGATTGCTTCACCGCTGTCTGGATGGAATTCGGTAAAATATAGATCGGAGGAAATTTTCTTTCTTTAAAAATAGTCTGAATGTACACTTCTTGCTAAATTGTTAAAATAACCACGATGTACAATACTTTACAGAATCCCAACGACAATGATGCCGGGAATTCTGCTACAACTTAATTTAAGAGCTGAAAAGGCTTCTAAAACAAACTTGTCATTTTATTTTTATTATTTGAAATGCATAATGAGGAGAACTTTAGCTTCATACGCATCGTCCGCATTAAACGCTGCTGCGTAATCCCTTCTCCTTGAAATTTTACGCTTCGACAGAATGACAGAAAAAACGACAACTTTGATTTAGCATAGAAATACCCACAGCAAGTCCTTACTGACAGACCCCTTTAAAATGACCTGATATATTCATGAAATATTCAGAAGGCAGTGACACAATGGGCAAGAATTTAAAACCCTAGAGGAGATGCACCGGACGCCCTGACGTCAATTCATGCAATAATGAAAGTAGAATAGCTTCGTCAATTTGAAATTCCTTCTCTTTTTTCTTCGATGAAGTGATGAATTAAAGATAAGGTTTTTTTTTTTAATGCGAACATGCCCAGACTAGCAAGTACGTGAACTGCGCTAGGAGACTGCATTACGGTCACTACGCACAAGAGGTCTAGTACTGACGTATTTGGCATGTCTGTCAGGAGGCCATAGAAATGTACATGTACATCAAGACCCCACAAACTGTGTCTGGTGTTTTAATCATTCTCTTCTCTTCACTTCATATTTGAAAGGCGATGTCTTGTATGCTATTATCACAAGACAAATGCTTGATATGATTCCCACAAGAGGCGATCCAAAAATCCATCTTGTTTCCCCTCATAATGTAAGGGAGCATCAGAACGGGCGGCCGTTCCACTGGCCCATCGGAACGCTGCCTCGGGACGGTCTACCTATGTACAAAGCCGACCGTTCCTGTTGGTGAGTGAATGTCCTGATGGAATGCTAGTAATATGCCAGTGGGAATGATCCAAGAGAACGTGAACGTTCCAAACTTTTGAGACGTTCCCTAACCAAGATCTATAAGTACATGTGCATTAAAAATGAAGCCCAACAATGGAGCGAGGCAAGACTTTTAACGTCTAATCCCAGGCTTGATATCACAATAAAGCCGCTTGGGTCCTGTACTGTTGAAGATGCAGTCCATCGCTTGCCATTTGTGCATTGTGTTCCTTGGAGGAAAATGCTCAGAATCTACAGACAGGTGGTTAACAACAAACCTGATGAAGTTGAAGCTCATTGAATAATTTTGATTTCAAATCACAAGTTATGGTGAATCACATTTTAAATTGTGCCTGAATTCGTCAGCATCTCATGTAAAGTTGAATACAGCTACACGATGTCACGCACCAAAGCAATGAATAATGATAACAGCGTGTGTCAACGCTTGAGCGCGCTTCTAAAGGCAATTTTCCAAAAATATACCCAAGATGCATTGTTGAAAATGGACTTCTTTCATTCTCTTCTTCAATGTGACAGCTTCCCCAAAAGAATGAGTTCACAGGGAGTTAAGTCCCATAACCTTCTTTAAACCGACTATTCTTTTTCAACAATAATTCCGTCAGTAACCTTTTGGGTAACTACAGCAAAATGACGGAGCGTACCTTTAAAGTTCACTTTGTCGTGGTTCAAAGCGTGTGGAGTCTTAGAGTAGTACTGCAATATACCGGTACGACAGCTGCGGGACCACTGACCAATTTCATCCTCCAGTGCAAATGCGGCATTACCGTCAGGTGGGGATGCTTTGGAACATCCATCATACTTCCCCCTCTCCCCACACACTCATAATCATTCCTCGACAATAATGGCAATAATGGTAACCGAAAGGCGCTCACTGAACATTAATATATAAATATATATAGTTTTTGTTCGCCTTTCGAACAGGACTTCAAGGGCGAAGACAAAGCTGGAAAAAAGAGACTAAGTCTGGGGTTTAGAAAACCCTCATGTCTTCAGACGACTGCCAGTACTTCTGAGAAATTCAAAGAATACTTCACTGAGGTAGGCCAGAAAAAAAGCGAAAACTGACAAGTAAAGTGACTGTTTCAATTTTAAAATGTCGCATCAGTAGTTAACTGTACAACAGTCTGTCGTACAAAAAGGAGTCAGGCTTGAATATATCAATTCACCTATTAAAAAGCCCACAGTCACAGAGGAGCTTTCAAATCCTATGTACTGAATTCACGAGGTGGTTCACCACTTGAGACACTGGGTTTAGAGACCTGTTCATGTGTCCTGGAAAGCTGCCGGTATCTGGCTTTTTCCATGGCAACTACTTAAAATGGAAATGGCAACAGATACTTCGGAGGTTCACATGGTGGCCTGTCACAGAAATCGCCGTTTATGACTGACAATGCTGTGTTAAAGGGTCCACTCCTCCACAAATGTAACCATTTATGCTGGCTTAGTAAAAAGGACACCACCAAAATGGTATGGATGGGGTCTCGGTGAAGTGGTAAGCCTTATTACCCTCTTTGTGCTTTCAACCTGAAAATCTCTTGTGTAATATACTATTATATTCACACACATCTGACCTATAAAAAAGAAAGCGAGAAGATTATATTACAATATTGTACATAGCTTGGAGGGCTTATTTTTAATTCTTCTACTATCCCGGCTCCGTTTTTTGGTGGGCGGATTCTGTCCATTCGATGCCTGCGTGGTGATGATGGGTGGTTCAATGTACTTCTTCTGTATCCTGTGCAGCATGATGCGGTAAGTGCCCGTGATGCTGCTGCGGGCGTCGCGGTCGCGCGCCGAGGCCAGGTGCTCTTCGGTCACCCCCAGCTGCGACAGCTGCGACAGCACCTCCTTCTCCTCGGCGGTGGCCGTCTCCAGGTCGAAGCACGGGGTGGGGTGGCACGAGTGGTGGGCGGCAGGGAAGTCCTGGCCCCGCAGCCAGGCGGCATTCTTGATCCCGTCGATGGTGACGCGCTCTGTTGGGCTGTGCCTGAGGGCGCTCCGAATCAGCGACTGGCAGGGGCTGGAGACGAAGGTGGGGATGGTGAACTGGCCATCCAGGATGCACTTCTTCAGTTTGGCCACCGTGTCAGCGCGGAACGGCATGACACCCGTCACCATGAAATACAGCATGATGCCGATGGCCCATATATCCACCGGGGGTCCCACGTAATGCTCATCCTTGAAAAGTTCTGGGGCAGCGTAAGGTGGCGATCCACAAAATGTGTTCAGCATCTCGCCTTGCTTGAAGGTCGTGCTGAAACCGAAATCTCCCACTTTGACAAGGCCATTGGCGGCGTAGAACACATTCTCAGCTTTCAAGTCACGATGAATGATATTCTTAGAGTGCTGTTACAAAAAAAGAACAAAGAAGAGATATAAATAAAACTGAGGCACCAATTTTTGAAATGTGAATAGGGGCTCAGTAAACATCAGACCGGGGGGGGGACGGTGCCACAAGTAACTTCTCTTGACTCCACCCTTTTTACAATAAATCATTAGCATCAATCTCAAACAACGAGAATTAAACATTGGAAGCCCGGTGGTTGAAAAGGCAAGAGATCTGGAGTCAGGCAGTTGGATTAGAGCCCGCCAAGCTTGGAAACTAAGCTCATGTATACAAGCAAAGCTTTAAACTCTACTTTGAAGCTTTGCACGGAGGCAACGTAAACTGGCAAAGATTGTGGATTGCAGAAAAAAAAAACAAAACTCTCTCATAAAAAGCAGTGCTGTTCTTCCTGAAGACAACCACAGCACATTGGCTGACGAGTCACACCCAAAACTTCAGAGATCGGAGCCACACTTTGTCTTGAAAGAGATTTTTCCCCCACATTGTGTTATTACAAACCCTGCAAGTACGCTGTAATTTGTTATAGGAGGCAGCATGTCCAAGCACAGTATCATAGGCCTATGCTTATCATGGCAACACATAAATGCACATTCTGAACAAATGAGAAGGCCTATCTCTTATGTACACATACCTTGTAAGACAAGATTAAAAAGGGAATGTCGTAAATTGTCACTACAAACTGTCACTTCAAATCTGGATTCATAATAAATTTCTATAAACACACGTTCTACCATGTTTAATGGCCACAATCAGAACATGTCTGTGCACGTCTTGTACACAAGTGGCCCAATATTTACACTCATGATGATACATGTAGCCTAAATCATGTTTGTTGTGTGGTAGCTTTTTGTCAAGCGGAGGTGGTGGTGTGGGGCCGATATTTTTTTGCACTTTGCTACGCTGATCAAAAACACAGGAAACCTCCAAAATCTCTAGAATCCTATTTTTAAAATCAATACCAGTCAGCGTGCTACCATCTACAAAACAAACACATCGGAAATCTTGTTGATCAGAAAAATATCCGTGGAGTCAAATGCAGGGAAGTGTGTTTCCTAGACATCTTTCTGCAATCAGAAAAAAAAAGAAAGAAGGATATATGACCAGTTTTGGATATTAGCTTCTCCCTCGCTAACCTGTGTAAACATTTGCTGGTAAACCTCCTAGTCTCCTCCCTACCAATCATGACAGTGCAGAACAACTTCCAGCCAGCTACGCAGGGTGGAAAATGACTCAATCCGTATTGACATTAACCAAGACAAATATTATCTTGTTAATAACACACTGCCTTCGACAGGGGCTGCCCGGCATTCGGGGTATCTAGTACTATCTAAATGTATTTCATGTAAGTCGCCCCCCCCCCCAATATCTACCCTCTCCCCTTCCTCCCCTGACATCTCGGTTCATTTTGCTCGTCAGACATGCTCGTGCTCCTTAGGACGTACTTGGATATATACTGTGCATGTTTATCTTGGGGGAGGGATGGGTCTAGGGGTCAGCATGACGTCTTGCGCCTGGCGACCAAGACTTACGAAGTGTTTGGCATCTTTGCTCTGAGTAAATAAAGATCCTGATGCTTAAAGACAGGACGCTTAAGTGTGGTGCGTGTACATGGACGTGTTTTTAATTTCAACCCAAGATGATTCGCGTGTGTCTGTGGGTGAAGTGCACCCTCCACGACATGATGAAGACTAAATCATGGAAATGAAATTCAATTTTCAGGAATCCTTTTTTCCTTTTCTGTGAATAAAAAGAAAACTGAAAACTAAACACAGGAAAAACAAAGACCAAACTCCAGACAATCTCTTAACCTAAAGCCCAATTATTTAATACAGGTATGTACATGTACATGTAACACACATGGACATGTACATCTGCCACTGACGCCAAACATTTCTGATTAGGAAAAGTCAGTTAAATTTGAATGACACCCAAAAAGGATCTGCAACAAAATATTCACTTGCAAAATTTTTCGAATGCTGTAAAAAAAATAAAAAGTCAAAAGCACTAAAATCTTAGGACAAACTTAGAGGCAAGGACAAAGACTTTTGTTTGGGGCAAACAACTTTAGAGCCAATAATTAAAGTCATTCGATGAGTTTCACTTAAAAGATACAATAGGCCATATATCGTGTGTCGGTGGCACCTGGGGGGGGTCAGACAACACAAACCCTTATTGGGCCACTGACCCCTACAAAAACTGACCGTCAGGCCCAATGTTGCAGTCCACTGTGACATACACAAACACTGCAGGATCGCCTCCTGAGCAAAAACATCACTCGATCGTCCCCCCCCATGTCCTTTAAAAATTCACCAACAACCCAAACACTCCCAAGGGACAGACGTATCAAGTGTGTGTGCCCATCGTAAATCTTTATTGTGTGTAATGATTCTTTTTTTTCTCTCTCTCCAAGAATGGACAATGGTTGCCCGGCAGTTAAAACAGGAATGCATGGGCTTTAATTAAAAGCATTCAGAGATGACAGGCAGGGCACTTGCAGAATGGAATTTCACAGTCCAGGGATGTTCGTTTCAATTTGTTTCGATGTTGATAAATTACTCCAGGCAAGTGTAGCTGTTTAGCTCATTTCAGGCGGAGTCACATGTACATGGACATGTAAGGAGCTATCGGAAAAATTTGGAGCTGTCATGTTAAAGTCGCAGAGCCATGGAGCCTTGTCTGGATTCTTGAATGCCGTTCGCGTGCGGTTAGGAAAGGTGTAAACATGCTGCTGCATGGTCCAAGGGGTGTGAGAAGGCACATGTGAAAAAAAAGGTCAATTATCTGCAAACAAAGCAGTGACAAATATTACGCGGTCGTGCCGTTCAGTCTCTGCATGCACATAAAGGCTAATGTATGAAACCTTCATGTTCGTTTCTATGCACGTATATTCCTGCACAAAAATGGTATGACAACATGAGCTCTTGGAGAGGGTGCCCTGGGGCAGGTGGCTCGTGTGCATCATATGCCTCTGTGACCAATAGGGGGTTGTGACTTGCTAAAATGAAGGTGTGCAGTGAGTTGAACAATGCAAGTGAGAGTGTGGTGACACCGCCACATCTCCTTGGATTTGACACCGCACACGTAGAGTGAGTAAAAGATGAAAAATTCAAAGCAAGAGTTACCGAGCGGATCCACTCCAGACATAAAAATTGGGTGAAGCAGCTGATTCCAATGTACAAGTTTTTATTATGGCATATCAAGGGTACTAAAAAAAATAACAGTCAACAGAGATGATGACGAATACCTGTCTGAAAGTTAAAGAAAATGAATAACCAATAAATTGCATGAAATGTTGTTTCCTTCTTACATGTACAGGTTTGAGGTTAATCAGGTTAGTTGTTGTAGGACAGCATTTCCCTTACTGTAATTACCTAACTTACCAGGAATGGTCCATGTAGTCATAACAAGAACATTATTTACACTTGACTACAAAAATAAAACACATTATGTACAAAATAATATTTTACCATTTGTAAAACACTCTGGTTCTCATATAACAGGTATTCGACTGTTACTTTTGAGTTGTTTTTGCAATCTCACAATTTCAAGGAAATGGAGCGGCCTCAAGAAAATGGCTCAGAAAGTCATGTCTGAAATTACCCGCTCTTGAAAGTCCCGATACAATGCTTAAAACTAAACAAGGCGAATGTTATGAAGGTTTCGACCGCAAGATGGCGGCAGTCAAAATTATCTATTCATGGCCGCACGCGTGAAAGTGCACATGATGTGCCACATGTTCTGCGAAAGTACAACGATGCAGTTGAAACGGAATGAAAGGAATGCGATGTGACTCAAAGAAAAGGGACCAGCGTCAGGTGAGAGTAGGGCGAAAACCTCAACCTGGTTACACAAGAAATTGAGTGGAGAAGGATTTGGAACTGCAATCCACATGTATACCAGCATTACCTAGCCCTGTAGTTAGTCGCTCCTCTTGAAGCCATATACTTAGGAGTTTACTGCTGTATGTTCCAAGGGACCATACCTGATGTCACAATAGAGGCTTTGCGTGGTAGCCATCTTGCAGGGCAGTTCTTTTGTTCTACAGGGAAACCTCCTTTGTGCATACCCTGTGGAACAGAAGCACTCACCTGCAATATGGCAGTCGTGCAAACCCTCTACGGGAGCAACAGGAATGTTGTAAACTTGGACAATTTTGAAAAAGGGATCACTCGGGAGAAATGGCTTTTTTTCGTGCGAATAGCCAAATTAGCTGTACCTGTTTTATTTAACAAATGGTCCTGATATATAAATGTACGATACTTAAATTCAGACTGAACCACGTATACGCACGGGCGTCCACTGACCATAAAGTGCAGATTGTGACATTGGAAGTACAAGGTGATCTTCCTTGGAAGTCTTGAACGCGACAAAGCCCTATGAACTGTACATGTGTAAGACTGTGTTGGTTGAACTAAATGCTTGACTAGGCAATGCAGTGCTCTCCGGGCAAATCAGCTGTTTTGGTGTCTCGGAGCAGGACAGTGGAGGCAAAAACCCAAGGCCATCGGCAGCCTGTTCAACACTGGCGCATCTGCATGCCACACGCGTCTAGTGTTTAGAAGGCAATTTGATGCATGCCTCCTGGCTGAAATTTCGACATCACTGCAAATGAGGTCTTCAAGTCTACAAGAGGCAGAAACACTATCGCTTTGTTTCTTAAACACCACCCATGATCGACTTATTCATGTAAATGTGCTGGTAAATATATTTTAACTTGTAATGAAAGGAAAAACCTACTCTTCAACTTGTAATAATTTCAGATCTGTAGTGTGTCAAATTTTTGATGTAATGTAACCCTTGCTTGGGTTTTTGAGGGTATGCTCCAATGAATGGAATAAAATAAAGTGACATCAACTGAGAGTCCAAAGTTACCCGCAGGTTGGTGCTATCAATGCATCCAAGGGTTGGCACACATTAGGCCTTTTCACACTTCAGCCTGTCAACCCAGGTTGAACTCAACCCTGGGCGGGCCCATGGCTGCCCTGGGTTGAAAATTGGA